GTATTAAGATGGAGTAGTAGAAAGCCAAAAACTTTCTTTCCCAAATTATTTTTAAAGGTTATGTTGAAATTCCATGCCAAACTTCAGTTGAACTATCAGCTGTTCCAATCAGAAATTTCAAATTAATCAGAAACCAATATTTACCAGACATGCGCGTTGTCAACGATTTACAAACAGTTGGAAATCTGTTTGTGACTCAAGGTTGGAACAAACCTAAAAAGATAATGTACTAATAATCTTTGATTGCTGAGGTGCTGAGGGTGATGAGTGCTACCTAGAACCTTCAGAATTATTTTTCAACTTTTTAGTACCTACATTTTTCAATGAAATCATTTAACATACATTTTTTTTATTTATTCCATATTTAAGTTTTTAGTTTCTAATTTTTATCCACCCCCATGCCACACAGTACTCGGCACGTTTTAATCTTTTATTTTAACTTGGGTGGTGTATCGCTAACAGTCCTCGACACGATACAAAATCTTGACGACTTGGGTTGGAGATCCATGCTTGAATCCTGATTCTGAGTTGACACAGTTATTTGTATAGATTGTATTGGATTTGCATCTTTTTCATAGTATACTACTATAATTCTAGTCAAGGCCTGTCATTTGATACCCATATTGAGGTAGTTGCGAAAAAATATGTAATCCGCCATTTTGTAGCTGCGGCCATTTTGGATTTACAATCATACAGAATTTATTGGATTGCATTGTCATTAAAACTAAATGTGCTATCCAAATTTCAGATCAATCTGTCAACAGATTGTCAACAAACAGAATTTAAGTTTACGAGTTTCTTCAGCTCTGAGAGCTCCTCCCTGTCAACAAATGTTTTATGGGAGAAACCTTACCACCTAATCTTTCTCCATTCATAGATAAAGACCGTGATCAACAGTACATACCTCCTGAGGCCAGAGCACTCTATGACGAATCCCAACTGGAACAACAGCATAAGCGAGATGAACTAATAGAAGATGGTAAAGTGGTTGAAGATGATGGGGAAGAAAGGGATGACGGTAATCAAGAGAAAAAAAGTCATGTTGATCCAGATGGCGAGAGTGATCAAGAGGAAAATATTGAGAGCTCTCCAAGGGTAAACTTTCAAAATTTGTCTTTTTATATTCTCTTTTGTAGCCATATTTCATGTTAAAATGCAGGAAATAATGAGAGTTCATTCTCACTTGTTTTATTCACTTTTCAGGGCAGATTTTTATCTTTAAGAAATAATAGAAACCATAACACTCTTCTTTATCAGATTTCCATAGATAATAGAAATTGGATGGCTTTATGATTTACAAAAAAAAGATGAGTGACGTGACAAATTTTTTTGTAAAAATGAATGAACATATTCTTTCTCACTTCAACTTTGATAATCACTGTATCTTTTTTGTTTGGGAAAATGTTTTCAAGAAATTGTAGAATCTAAGAACAGTTGATACTCGAAATCAACCATTAATAGTTTTTTAAATATATGGATAATATCGTTTTTAAGATGTGAATAAAAGTATTTAATAAATTTTCAGAAATCAAAAATGTCCGTCAGTATTGGCGAAATGTATAAAGAAGTTCCTTGGGAAAAAATAGACAAGAACGGCAGGAATACTGTTTGAGGGAGAAGATGGTAAAGAAGAAACACAAAAAATTATATAACAGCATGATATAGGGCAAAAAGGATAGCTAAAGATACATTCAGCACTAGTGAATAAAAGTTTATTTTTGAAACTGGGGGATACTCATAAATAACTGAATGAATGACTAATGTTTTTTCACTACCTATTCATTCATTGGTTATTATCATGAACATCTTGGTAATGTTTTTAAAGATGATGTGCATATAACAGATATTAGGGGCTCCTAGTTAAAATAAGGATTATTCATTATTATTATGTAAGAAAAACTGTCACTGGTCAGCTCCATTTAAAATGGTTTCCGTTCCCTTTCATTCGTTAATAATTTCGCTAAATTGAATAGTAATTACCAGGATCATTTCGGTAATCCCCACCAATTATCAAAGGGAGTCACTTCAACTTTTGATGATACTCCGGTGGATCGTTCATGTCCGAAACAAGGATTAACGGATCAGCGAGGCGTGAAGTATGGTCAGTTCGTATTAACCGGACTAGAAGACTTTGTGAATATTATATCAAAAGAATAGGGGAGACACTCATTCCGTAATTACTGCGATTACGCGCGAATGCTATATAGTACATGCCAATTGCCAAAGAGTCAACAAACTCCTCTGTAATTTTAATGGACATGCACAAAAACCACAGAAAATCTTCAAACCGCTCTAAGAGCAGTGCCAGTGCGATCTGTGGAAGTTAATGTATAAGTCAACTCTTTATAAGATATGCAGAGCATTCTCAAAATCTCTTTCAAATTCGAACTGAAACTGTATTTCATGATATTTTTTTCATCATTTTCCAATAGTATTGTCAGATGAAATTCAGAACATTTCAATTTGAAGTGTATTCAATTTGGATGTGAAACATCTGTAGCCGCACGTAAAACCGATTGTTGACGTGGCGACGCATGCCGTGGCGACGAGTCGCCATGCGCAAGCGGCTATGCGATTTTCTTCCCACAGGTACAGTATTAACAGGAACATCAAAAAATTAATTGATGAATGAATTTTCTGATGATGGTGAAATTTATATTGATATTTATAATTTAAGATCTTCAGTAATATATTGCAATAACTAGCTCAGATTCTTGAGTTTACTAGTATATTGAAATCACAATGAAATTTTTTCATGTACATTTTAATTACATTTTTTTTATAAATAGTTCAGTACCCAACAATCATCACAGGGGTCATGAAATATCATTATTGATGTTTCACATCTGCCAGGCGTCGCCCCTTGATGGATCACAATTTTTATCAGTTGATTAAACAATTTTTGTATCCAAATGACGTTTCATATAATTGTAAATAACATAACTAAAGCAAGAGTATTAATTAGTCAGCTCTCCCTCTAGCATTACCTATTTCAAAGATGAGAGGCATCTAACAAAGTTCACTTTTCAATCTTTGTTTGAAAAATCGTATTGATGATAGTTCGAGATGTTGAAGATTTCCAAACATTTAAGAATAAGTTAGATTTGCAGTTCCTTCGCGATCCACGATTTTAGGTAACACCAATAATAGTAAAGCATCTGCTCTATAGTTTCTTGCTTTTTTGGGTAGACTCTGATAACGAGCAAAAACCCCTTTTTGTATGATAGAGTTCTGATGGAGTATACATCAGAAACAGAAGCTTTATTTCGTTGAACTTTTTTTCAGTATTGATAAAAAAAAATTATTATAGAAACATATAAAAAATCAATACAAATTACGAAACCGCAACAAAAATTATTTGGCGCTCCGGAGCGACTTGATTGATTTCAGTGGCGCATTTGCTTTTTCAGCTGCAGGAAAACCCGAGAAAACTTGCAGCGCCACATCATCTGAAGATCTTGATCTGCCAATATCCTTTCTTTCATAGAATTAAATGTAGGGTGTCTCCAGAGGCTTCAATAAATCCAAGACATCGCCAGAACACTTAGTGAAACGACTATCGTCAAACGCCAGAACCACAGTAAACAATGACTGCATGAAGATTATGATAGTGGTCTGCTAGATTGAAGTGTTCATCTATTTCGAACCTTCATAAGAGTTTGGTGCTTCCGTCAGAGGTTGAGTCATGTTTGAAGATCATCAGTGTTAAACTGTTTCAGAATTCTTTTAATTGAGACGCTGTCGAAAAGTGGGCATGTTTATTAGTTTTATTCTTAGAAATCAACAGACGTTTGGGTTGCAAATTGTTCTTTCGGTATCAAATAAAACTTCATTCATACTCAAACTGGCAAGATGAACAACAATGTAGGAGAAAACTGAGTATCTTGGAATATTTATTCAAACTTTATATGTGATAATGAAGTTACCCAATAACGTCTCAATATTCATTAGATTTATATCCAAAGATGGAGATTTGACGAATATTTTTTTAAACGAGGTCAGATGTTACCATATAAGTCGTACAACTGAATTTTCTGAATCTCATTGATTTTCATTTACATTAATTCATAGGCTCATTATCTACAGATGCTAGTGATACATTTAACAACCACCATTGAATAAATTGTACATTTTAGTAAAATGTATTCACATTTGCCACGACGCAGTGTACAACACATTTTCCTCAATATTGGGCCAAAAAATCAATGAGTAAATATCCTCTCCCTTTTTCTTCCCAATAATTGAAATCAATATATAATTTGGTGATGTTACTCCGCTTTAGACCTTCACATAGTATGGATAGAATTATTTTTCATTCTTTTAAGATGTCACATTTCCTATCTAGGTCCACGAGTGTATGGCTAATGTTAACAGAAAAAATTGGTCAGCTGTCTTCATAAAAGTGGTCACATCTTTTCCATGAGTCAGTTCCTGTTTTATGTATGTTGGTGCTGAATTTCATGATATTTTACCGACTAACTATGCTTTGTTTAAGGTAAACAATGAATAAACTGATGGATGTAACTGTTACTACGTAGTAAGAGATCATCATGAGAAATGAAACCTTCTAATTTTTTTATCACTTTCATTTGTAACTAATGTTACTGCAGTTTCGTCCTATAAATGACATTTTCATATTAATACAGGACGAAACTGCAGTAACGTTGGTTACAAATACAAGTGGTAAAAACATAGAAAGTTTCATTTCTCATTCTTCATGAAACAATGAACCAGATGAGAAAATCACTCTGAATGTATTTCATTACAGTTCAAACCCTGATTTTGATCATTCACTAGTTTACAGCCAATTTACGACTGTAATGCCAAAGGCAGTTCTTTGTTAATTTTTGGTCTCCAAATGCGAAAATGATAGTTAAAGTTTCCCAACACGTAATATTTTTGAATTATAATTTTTTTTACAAAAATTTAATGAACACAACATTCCAAATTTGCTTTTCCCCTAAATTGAGGAAATTGTTTAAAATCTTGCAACACAGCGGCTCTGCCCAGTATTCGAATCTGCTTCCGCTTTATGTGAGACTTGTCATGCCGCTTCTCGAACTTCCGATACTTGAAGTTTCCAGAAAATACCAGAAATACGGAACAGCTAGCAGGTTGATCTAAAAGTCATAGGACTATTACTAGGTCTTCAGGGCGGATTTACGAAGTTTTACTGTTGCAGTAGGGCAACACAGATCCATTATCAAGTAAAATAATGGCCCCCGAGAAATAAATATATTCCAGGTCAAGCTAATGTGAAGAATATACCTCTTGTTAATCCCAAAAATGTTTTGTTACCTCCATGACACATTAAACTGGGGTTAATGAAAAATTTTGTAAGAGCATTAGACAAAGAAGGTGATGCGTTTGAATACCTTAAACACGTTTTTCCAAAATTAAGTGATGCAAAGCTCAAGGAAGGTATATTTGTTGGACCATAAGTTAGAAAACTATTAAGTGATCAACAGTTTGATCAAAAATTAAGTGAGTAATGTTGACTTAGCTCTGCGTGGAGTTGTTTCATCAAAATAATTGTTTCGGGGTTTTTAGGGAACAAGAAAGTAGAAAATTACACTTGAAGAAGAACCACTTGAAAACTACTGCAGAAAACTACTGCATTTCTTGCACTTCCATTTGAATTTTTTCCCAGAAAATTTGGGTGCTGTCAGTGACGAACAAGGGGAAAGGTTCCATCAAGACATACTGAAAATGGAGCAACGTAACCAAGGTAGATGGGATGCAGCAATGATGGGGGATTATTGTTGGTTCCTTATGAGGGAAAACGATGAAAGATATAAACAAAAGTCAACATTTGCAAAAACGTTATGCACAAAAGACTTCTTTTGAATGTTTTTTCATGTGTATTGTAAATAAAGTCTGTTATCCTCAAAATATATTGTATTTTTCTTGTTTTGATTTTATATTTCCCTATAATATGTGAACATTTTTGTTTAAAATAAAAATAACTATAACTCAAAATCTTTACGTGATGGAAATTTTTTTATATTGAAGTCGCAGTCAGGATGTTTCAAACTCTCATGTATAGATAGCCATTATTTCTAGTTGATCTCCAATAATTTCCGAAACAAAAATAGACTATTTTTGAAGGCAAGTATTTTTCGCTCCCAAACTCATTTGCTGCTGTCAAATTTATTATTCACGAAATCTGCAAGAATTTACGTTTGAATGAACCTATGGTTGAATTTCATTGTTCATAATAATCAAGAATGGATAGTGATGGCGATATTGATATTTTTTCATAAACTACACCTTACGATTTTATCTCCAATTAGTTCATTCTAACAATTAGTAGAATGAACAACAAATATGATTTTTCAATTAATCACAAACCGTCCTACACGGATATTACTATACATTACGATTCTACCTATCCATATCTGACGCCTATCAGAAAACAACTACTCCACTGGTCCAACTTAAGACGAGGAATGAAATACTCTGAAATAATTTCGATTTTCAATTATGGAATATCACTGATTTTAGGTCACTATCTTGCATTGACGAGTGGCTGACCATGCAATATCTATAAAATGGTTTTTTTCTTCTTCCATGATTATTACGCGATATTTAAACTAAAACACCTTGTTAACTATCAAACTAACACTCATTGTAAACAATAAACTGACAGGACGTGCCCTATGCCGTCACGCCTCAAGCGCGCGAGAAATAGGAGCGTTTTTGAACTTGTCAAATTACTACTCTCACAGCTATGTTAATTTTTTTTCTATATCAAAATGAAGTGAATATTGAATAAAAAAAAAATAAAAAATTGTCTGCATATTCCCTATTGGCCAACGACATTACTCCATTTGTATGCAAGTTCGACTGAAAATCATGAAATACTCAGATTTCTTATAACGGGTATTGATTACATTCGATAACCTATTGTGTCATAATAATGAAATGTTAGGCATAAATGTATATGGAAAATGTAGGATATAGAGTGAAAAGTAGTAAACTTTTTCATAAACCACTCAAATACCAAAATTGTTCAGATAGATAACGGTAAGGAGGTTTGGGAGTTTGGACTAGTTTAAATTTGGATTCAAGTTATATAAGTTTGAACACTTTGAAGACTCCTAATTCATAAATGACTTAAAACCGCCCTCAATCTCTTGAAGATATTTCGTATCACATCAAAAGTAGAAAAAACAAAATTGCAAGCAAATTGAAACCAATCGTGTCGAAAGCAATAGTTTTCCGTCGCATAGCGCAAGGCAAAAAGGTCACTTCAAACGAAATCTCCAGGGATTGTATGTGCGTGTGTGTGTTTTCGATTCGAACGACCGACTCGTATCTTTGAAGTTAAGCCCACGGTAAATATTTGCTCGGTAAAAACGGTCAGCCTTCAAGGTTTAAACTAAATAAAGACCAACTAAATAGACACTGGGACTGACTTCTAAACACTTGAATGGACGAAAATGTTTTTCTTTCCGGATCTCGGACCTCACAAGAAAGTGAAAGACGTTTATTTATATTCGTTTGTGCTTTTTCGTCACGAGATTGTTTATTCGTATTTTGCAGATCATCAGTTGTGTCTCAACTGGTGATCCTTCGGGGCGGATTCTGTAAATTTAGGGTTAGAATAACACTTTTTGTATCGGAATGATTTGTATCATCAAAATCACGCAAACATAGGAATAACTAGAAGACAAGCAAGATGTTATTGATTTGAAATTGGTCAATAACCAGTAATTGCATAATTAAAACTGTTCTTTTGGTTCATGAAAAACTCTTATGATATATCTTATCGAGGTAACATGTTATTGAAAGATTCTCGCTAAACACGTAATATACAGGGTGCTAATTTGAAAACATACCACTCTCTATATTTCAGTTATACCTATATGGTTTCGGGAATGATAGGTAAAAATAACATAACAAAAAACTCAGGAATGCTTATATTCAACTTATGAAATGTGGCAAAATAGGTAGAGCGACCGAAATTTGACTTTTATGTCTTTATAGGTGAATTACATTCTTTATAATAATGAAATAAGTGGTGTTCGCCGAAAAAAGATACAAAGTGTACGAAAACGCGTTTAAAATTTCGCAGTGTATATTACTACTATGTAAACGCCTTCAGTGGGGTGTAAGGTCTTGATATCATTGGTCTGGGTATCTGACGTCATTCCTCCAATCTTTGATGTTTATTCTTGCTATAGTGTGGCAGTGGCTTCAGTTATCGAGTCTGTGATTTGACCACAAAGCAGCTGATTAAAGTAACCTTCTCGTTTCTGGGTGTACTATTTCATAACCACAAATGTTTTCTTTCAGTTTCGTAACTTTCGTTAGAATTCCATCATGAATTATTGATTTTCATATATTCTATTTTATAAAAATGAACGGGACCGACCATTTTGAAAAGAATCAAGAGGTTTTCGGTGAAGAGTTCGAAGCGGTTAATAGGATATACGATATACGATGCAGTATGTAATGAAGATGAATCTTCTGCAAGTTCTGGTTTGAATATTACATCAGAAAATCGTGAAACGGAGTATGTTGAGTTTGAGGAGAATTTGAATGATACACAACTGAATAGTTCTCCCATCAACATCGTAGAACTTGAAGAATCTGTTGTACATGTACCTTTTTCAGCGAATGGTCCTGTGTGAATTTTTTTTTTCACAAGTTTCACGAAGGTCATGTGAAAAAACATGTTTTCAAGTGTCCAAAACCATCGTTAAGTCAAAACTCATTTTTTGACACACTATGTACCTTTTTTTGACAAACACCACATGTTATACTTTTTCATTATCTTGTTTGATATTGGATAGAAATGAAAATACTCTAAACATTTACCGTTATGTAATACGGCTTCAGTTTGTTTCGTTTCAGTTCAATAAAATACACATCGCACATCATAAAAGTCTAGGGAACAACAATTAAAATTCCTATAGCTTTTCAGGAATTCCTGATATATTCTTTAAAACTTATACAGATATAGATTATAAGTATTATCTCCATAAGGGGATGATTTTGCTCACATGAGAAATCAGTCAAATTTTTTGTGGTGCCGAATAAAATGTATATTCTTAAATTTCGTTTTGATAATACAAAATAAAAACGTTTAATAACGATATGCCTGGTTAGTTTCATTCAGTCACTGATTGAAAACTTGCAGTGACAACATTTGATACATGAAGAGCAGAAGCTGGCCAAACTCAAAGAGCGGATGCCTTCATTCTCGTAGACCACTTCGCGTGCCCCCAGGAAGGATGAATAAATGCCTTGGAACTCATTGGGATACCTCCATAGTGAGGAAAATACAAAAAAAAACTACAGAGATTGTTTGGCAGTGCCTAAAGCGATGCCACTTACAAAATCTGGTCCGATGAAACTACTTGCAGTACTCTCTTTTGCAGGAAAGTTTTCATCTTCCAGACGATATTAGATAATTTGTTGAAGCTTCTTATTGAGGAAAGTATTTTTTGATAGCAGATAGTTGTTGGTTCACAGATGGATCAAAAACACCTTCCGGTTCTGGTGCAGGTGTTTTCAGTCACAGACCCAGGACAGAGATTGTGTGCGGAGAGATTGGAAGAATTCAACCTCATACACAAGTCAATTAAAATATTCTCAGACTGTTAAGCGGCGTTGGAAGCTCTTGGCTCCCACTGAGCAACGTCTAAATTGGTAGCAAATTGCCAAAAATGACTCTCCCCGATAGGAAGACTTAACAGATTGTCTCTGGTCTGGATTCCTGGCCATACTGGCCTGGAAGGCAATGAGGCTGCTGATTCCCTTGCAAAGGAGGGTACTGCAAGCAGCTTCATTGGACCAGAACCTGTCATTGGCATAGCTTTAGGCTTTGCCAAACAAAGATTGAATACCTGGATGGCAAGAAGATTTATGGAGTTTTAGCAGAATTTTCCAGGATTGTTTCACTCCAAGGCGTTTATTTACCCTTCGAAGCTTGATACCAAACAGTTGTTGGACTACAGTAGGGATGAACTACGGACCTAACCTAACCTACGTATCTTTTGCAGGAAAGTTTTTAACATCTTCAAGACGATATTAGACAATTTGTTGAATCTTCTTATTAAGGAGAGTATTTTTTGATAGTTCACTACCAACTGGATCAACCAAGTGCTTTCAAGGATCAGTCTGTCAATCTCTCCATACACAAATCAATAGCCTAGATTTCCGTCAAATATGGACGCATACATAGACAGGGCAGAATGATATCTCTATCCTGGGTCTGCAACTATATACACCTGCACCAGAACTTGGTGATATTTTTGATTCATCTATCTGTTCTTAGTTTCTTGTATCAATAAGTTCTACCGACTAATGTCTATTGTAAATAGAATCTACAATACAAATAAAAAATATATTAACGAGTGTGATTTATGTATCTCATAAGTAGGAGAGCTTCATAAAAGCAAACCTTGGACACATGGATCTGGCTGATTGGACTTAGTGCAGTGTAGTCAAGTACAAATATATAGACTTTTTTTTAAATCAAGCCTGCTATTGCGTTTTTGAATTTTTTGAAGCATAACTCTCTTGTCATGTTAGTTGTCAAGAAATGTTCAACTCACCCGACATACACCCCAACTCTGTCGAATTGCTGTTATGGTTGTTGTTGCTGAGGCTGGTGTTGTTATTGCTCTCGCCAGCAGGATGCGGCGTCGTCGGCGTGGACGTCTTCTCCATCGCGTCGTGGTCTTCTTTGCAGTAGAGAACACCCCCGTCTCGTAACGCGAACTTGTCGCCCGGAACTAACTGTCTCGTGCAGGCGCGACACCTAAAACACTCGATGTGGTAGATTTTGCTTTTGGCTCGCATCACGAAATCGCTCTTGCTAAACGACAACCCGCACTTATCACATTTCGTTCCGAATAACCTGCAACCAAAAGAAAAAGATATTAGTTATGGAACTAATGAGCCGTAAAGAAAAATAACGAGGTTAGTGAGGTTAGGTTTATTGTGGCTTAAACCAATTCAAAGTTCATCAAATGGTGAATGATCTTTCAGGTTTGAAAGCGAGAATAAACGTTCGAAACAACAACTTCCCAGAAGTCTTGAAGTCTTCTTACAGTTCAAGTATTTAGTGTTTGTTAGGCGAAGTCTAAATCGATGCCAATGACAGGTTCTGGCTTGATGAAACTTATTACTACATCCTCTCTTGCAAGGGGATCAGTAGCTTCATTACCACCTTCCAGCAGTCTCGTTACAGCCATTATTGAGAACTCTAGACAAGAGGCAGTTTGTATAAATTTTGAGGAGAGTCTTTTTTTGCAGTTCTCTTCCAACAATGACATTACTCAGTGAGAGACAACTGTTTCCAGAACCAGTTGGCTGTCCGAGAATATTTATATTGATTTATGAGTAAGTTTCGTTTCTGGCAATCTCTTCACATATGAATTAATGGCATAGTTTTCCACCTAAAATGCGATTGTATAGGCAGGTTGATACCTCTGTCGTGGATCTGCACCAGAACCTAAAGGAGTTTTTGATCTATCTCTAAATCGATAGTTATATGCTTTTAGTATGTTTTTCGCCCAGATGATTTAGTCCTGTACTCAGGACTAGAACTGTATAAGGCAGATCATAGGGGGGTTGGGCCGAAGATCATTTCCAGAACCACCGACCAACACGGCAGTCAATTCGAGTGAGTGAACAAAGCATCCACGCCGAACCGCTTGGCTACCGACTGCCCAAACTAGAATGTTGCTACGCTCTGCGAAAATCCGTTTTGGGTCATTATGGTTATGCATAATTGTACAGAATCCTGAATTTGTCCAACTAGCTTTTTTCTCCAGAAGAAAGGGAAGAAATGACGAGATTGAAAACATACATACTTCGTGAAAGTATAAAGTGTATTTGATTGTTACTTCGAAAACAATGATCAATTTGATCAACTTCTTAGTAAACATCACAATTTTTCAGACAAGATCGATGCACTGATTATCGCGACCTTTTAACAAAAACATTGGTTGTTTAAATTAAATTATTTCGTCTCATTTGGACAAGTTACATTCAAGTGTTGTTAACAAACTGACAATCGATCAATCTTGTTATCTTAAATTTTTCACTACGCCACGGTAATCGAAGAAAGCTTGAGCAAAACCTTGACATTTGTTCGAACTTGGTGTGCTTTTTTTGGTCTTTGCTCTCCTGGATGTTTCCATTAAGACTAATGGACTTTAGATTCGATGACATAACCATATACCCATGATTCGTCAACAGGTATAACCCTTTAAAGCAAAACTGGATTGCCGTTGACGTCATTCAAAATTCATCAATTTTGGAAAAAACTTCGCTGCCACAAAATTTCCGAAAAAATTGCAGACATCCTCAGCAACTTTTCTAATAGTGATTCGAAGACTCTCCGTAACAATTTTATTCACTTTCTCAACGTTTTCAGCAGTTGTTGACATGCTGGACGTCTAGGGCGAGCATGCTCACTCACATCTCGACATTCTGTGAAAAGCTTGTATAGTCGAAGTAAACGATATTGTGCACTCTTAAAGTTGGCGACACTCTCAATGGCCAAAAAACCAATATATAGAAATGAACTGGCAGCGAACTAGTCCACGTGGACTGTAGACTTGGCGGTTCGTATTGCATCATTTTTATCAACCGAGTTTTATGATTGGCTGAAGAGTCATAAAATTAAATTTGAAGGCATGTTACGGTGACGAATAGAAATCGGGGATGGTTATCGCCGTCGTGTTCAGTTCAGGAACTAATCGCGATTTGAGTGTTGAAATTCTTTGTAAGTGCAGTTATACATACTTAAAATTTTGTTATCTGTTTAAAATGTGGCGTCGTTGGACATGTACTAATAATAATAATAACGAGTGTGATAATTACGCAGACTTTTTCCAGTGTAGTGATTCCAATAGTGATGGTGAACAATACGAAAAAGAGATACCAGTGAATAATATTCGTATGCATTTGAATATTGAAACGTAGAGAATGTTTCGATGTATATAAGAATCTACATCTCAAGTTTGGTTTCGAGGGAATCAAAATATTACAAGCAACATCAGATTTGACCGAATTTCCTTTCTCAACTGTACGTAAAATAATCAAAAACAAATTTCATGAAGGCAAGACGCGATGTGATACAGGATTACCAAAACCTATGATGTTCACCTAATAAAATCATTGGAAAAAACAAAATACCACTGTTACAAAAGCAATAAGATTCCTACAACTGAAATCATAAGGAAGAAATTGAATACTTCCGGCCATAACGTGAGCTGCCGTGACAAAACTCTTCAGAATTGGATAAGAAACTAGGATTTAGATTTAAAATAATAAACAAACAGCAGTTATGGAAAGCAGAAGAATAGTGGAATTGCGTAACAACTACTTAGAACAAATAACTAAATATAGACAAGAACAATGTAAAATTTTCTATTTGGACGAAACTTGGTATGACATTCACGAGGCAATTACGAAAGGGTAGACTAATGGTTCGAGAATGTGTATGCCTAACATGCCTGCAAACAAAGAATCGCGACTAATCATTGTGCATTACGGATGAAGTAAAGGAAGTAAAGGGTGGATTCCAAATTCTTTGAAATTATGTGGAAACAATTTGAGGACTGCAATGTGGACTGTCACAAGAACATGGAAGCTAATGGAAGGAATGGTTTGACAACACATTGATCCCAAATTCGAAAGCAAATAGGTTAATAGTTCTTGTCAAAGCTTCCTATCATTCGCAGGGGGTTCATCAAAGTACTGAATAAAAATTTGAGGAAAGATGAAACACAAAGAATTTTAATAACAATTAATAACAATTTGTACTTTGAAGATTACTATACCAAAAATAAACTACTTGAAGTTTTACAGACAAAAACATTTGAAGAAGTGTATGCCCTTGAAAGTATTGTTGAAAAGTATGTAATATTACCGAAGAAGACTGGCAGAAAAGGATTAAAAAAGTAATTTAAGTTGAAAAAGACTATATGGAGATTGGACACTTCCATATTAATGGTGGAAATAAATTCATTATTGATCTAAATGACGACAGTGATAGTGAAACAGAGAATATGGAAGAGGAATTAGCTTTCGAAGAAAGTTTGTGAAGTGTTTTTGATCCTCCACAAAAAATGACTTTCGTTGAATTATTATATATATTATTGTGATTTATGTAATCAGAAATGATTATTGAATAACGAAATTAGTTAGCTCCATAACTATATTATTAAAGGGGAGCTGTTGGAAGGTAGGTTGAACTATATCGTTTACTTGAACAGCACTTGTAACCATTTTTCTGACTCAGAGTACAACCATCGTATGTCACTATCAACATTGCAAGTGTTTTTGAGCACTCAAATGCATTTTTTACAGAAAATTTGATGCAAATTCTTTGAACTTTTTTTTGTCGATAGCAGAAAATCGCCGAACACGCAACACACTTTTATGCCTCTCTAAACAGTTGAAACAGTGAACAAATCTTCGAGGCCAGTGTACCAATATAAAAAAAATGAAAAAAAATTGCTAATTGAATGAATGTAGCCGTGAAATTTGAATATTCGCCTCATTTTCCGAAGAGACATCGTATTCGAGAAGGAACCAAAGTGGCCAAAGACATTTTAATGACAATCGAAAATCCATCAATTCTGTTTGTTGAATAAATGATAATAGAAGTTATAGAGCTGAATGAATTTTGAAAAAACGACTAAAGAAATTTTATCACAAAAACTGGCTTCAAAATATTTAAATAACTTTCTATATTTACATTGTGTTTCAAAACCTTTTTGTAATGTATTTCGTATTCAACTGGATAATGACAGGAAAGTAAATGATATTATCTTTATTTCATTAGTTGAATTAAGTTTTCCATGTTTTGATTAAGTGAAGGAAATTTTCGTGTAAGCTGTATGCAAAGAAGTAACACATCAAAATATTTATCCTAGCGAAACGGTTCAAATGTCGAGTTAGTAGGTGGGCCAGGTGTTTCATTTAAAATGCGGACCGAATTTGTAGGGAACCAGAAGTAAGGATTATATTTAAAACCGCCACACACGGGGGGTCACATACTTATCTCGTCTAAATTAGTCAGACATGCCGGTGACAACCATTTGTTGATGTTCACCACACTTTGCGTTTTAATTTAACTTCCTAGAAATGCCAACCGGTAACCTAGCAGAAAAGTTAGAGGATATGTTAGATTTTGATACCTCTTTCATGGTATTTGGGAATCATGATTCAATTTATTCATTCATCCATGAAAATGTTTTTATATCGGTTTCATCTTTTTGAAATTGATTCACATAAAAACACTCCAGGACAATATGTTTCTGTAAGTATATTGAGAGTTTATGTTCAATATCGATTCGTTATTGAACAGTAAATCATTTTAAGTAAGACATTTTTTGCAGTCCAGAACGAATCCATTAGTGAAACTACAATTCAATGTTGTTGAATTAAGACATTTCTCAAGTTACATAATTTATTTGTCCGGTGTTTTTGGTATTTCAAGGCAATCAGGTTTATTAATTTTAATTGTTATTGTCATAGAAAAACTGATAAATTGGATAAGTAGGATTGGAACCCCGCCTTGTTTAAAATAAATAAGTTAGGTGAAATATATAAAAACGATAAGTACGACTCTATTCCATAGTTTTCAAAAATTAACTGAAGGTGGTAAAAAAAATTTTACAAATAAAAGTGCCTAAATTGTGTATAGATACTAACTGAGCTCTCTCTGAAGAGGTGAAATACCTTGGTACTAGCCTCGACAGAAAGCAAGCATGGAACTCTCACCTACAGAGTAGAGCAGAAAAAGGATATGTGGCTTATGAGCAATGTCGGAGGACAGTGGGACGCGCATGGGGTCTTTCATCCCGTGGGGTCACCTGGATCTAGATTGCAATAATGAGACCTATGTTAACGTACGGAACCATTGCATGGGGACCGAAAGTTCTAGAAGCAACGGCCACCCAAAAATTATATCTAATACAGCCATTGGCTTGTTTAATCATCACAGGAGCCATGAGAACAATACCAACCGCGGCAGTAGAATTAATTACTGATCTGACCCCTCTGGACCCGTACGATAAGGAGGTTGCGTTAATGGCCATCTTCAGATTGCGCACGCCTGGTGTAAACCTCGAAGTAGGAATGGGTCCATTGAGGCTAAGCCTATGGCGAGAAGCGCTTACTGCGCAACCTCTGCCCAGGTTTGTGTTTAATAAACCCTAGAAAGTAGAAATAAAACAGATCGCAGAGTCAGATGCTACAAATGCAATACGCAATAATACACATGGCTCAAAAACTAAAGAAGGTTCAGGATGTGGAGTGTACTCAAGATCACTAAGCCTAAGGATCAAGTGGGGAATGGGAAAAAATACCAGCGTGGTTCAAACAGAACTGGCTGGTATCTCAATCGCCACAAAACAAAACAACCAGGAAAGTAATCTCTGGCAAAAACATAACAATCTGCACTGATAGCAGGCAAGCCCTATTAGCCTTGAACAAACAACGTGTTACCTCAGGGTTAGTACTAGAGTGCCTCGAAGATTTAGCCAAAGTCTTGGTAGATAATAAGATAATTATCCTGAGGTGGATTAAAGGGCACGACAGGAGTAGAGGTAATCGCATTGTCGACTCTTCATTTAGGATCTGATATGCCTGATGACTTCAACAATTGCATTACTAGCCAAACGTTATCCCCATGCTTAATCCCTAAAGAGATGGAATGAAATTGAAGGATGAAATCTTGCCAGGATCACCCTGGGCGACCCTGGAAAGCTGGCGCCGAAAAAATATCTGGCGATGACCAGGAAAAATCGCTTTCCAGTGGGATTTAGAACTAGCCACTGTCCACTGAGAAAACACCTCCATAATATGGGGCTAGTGGACACACCTCTATGCAGGATGTGTGAACAGGAAGATGAAACTTTCACTCTCCCTACTTTACAGATACAGATACTAAATGAGCTTAAAAGTTCGTGGGCCAACACTCAGATGCCGCTACTAGTAAATCCATATGTTTTTCAGTTAATCCTTGATAATTTTGGCGAAAAAAAAATGTTGAAAGCCAGGCTTGATAAACTACTTTATGTATTTCACTTTATAAACTGTATGAAACAAAGTATTTTCAAATGTTATCAGACATACCAAGTGATATTTCACATACAAACCTTTTGAATGACGAAAAACACTGAGACTTTAACACATTGTCTACAGTGTGTTGTTCAATTCCGCTACAAACTGTTCTACAAAACAATTAATCGCCATAAAAAACGCAACGAAACTAACAGAACTATAAAAAATATAGCAATAGTAGTTCCTAGAGAAATCATTCTTTAAAAAATTGTTGCTTCCGTCTATTGTACAACATTAGAAAAAGTTTTGGAACCTTCTAATGGAGCCTTTCGGGAAAACTGGTGTAACAATTTCAAATTTGAATTCTGCTTCTAATATTCATCGAACATCATCAAATAAACATAAATTTATGGGTCATAAACAGAATCAAGGAAAATCCTATTATAATTTCCTCGAAGTTAATGTATTCTAGTATTCATTAAGGTGTATTAAATCAATACACTTACACTCACCTGACATAGTCCACTTTACAGTAAGTTTTGCCGTCCCTTACAAAACACGTACACGTTTCGTCCAAAAACCGTTGACATTCATGACATTTCAGGCAAGCCGCATGCCATTCGAGATCCGGTGCGACCCGGAGTATGTATTGGTCGTGGATTTGCCCGCCGCACCCCACACAGTGGCTGGTTCTCCGATTCTTTACTGAAAAGAAAAAGTGAATTAAATAAAACTATCAAGATATTTATAATTTATTCTAAAAGGGTCAAAGACATCTCGGTGATTTTGGACGTTTGGGGTGTACCTATCGTAAAGACGTCAAAATATCACATGTCGAAGAGCATAACCTTTCAGGAAAAACATGAAACTGATATAAATCGTGTCGACATATCACTCTTAGGACTTTATTTCTGTTTGTTGACGAAGAATTTCATCCCTTCTGTTAACATACGATATTATATCGGACAGTGGTCATTGTTTAAAGACAGCCGGTTGGCGCCAAAATTTCGACATATACCTACGACATTCTGCAATGACAGCGGCAATAAGTAGTTTTTCTTTCAGATATTACAGTCATTATTAACTTCATTCTCTTTCTTCTGAGCTTCAGTTTGGATTTTTTGCATATTTCGAAATCCATTTTTTGCTTTTCCCTAATAGTTGATCACAAAACGTTAATCCGCTTTCAAAATCACTTCATGTGACTTTCTCAACATTTGAAACCAAGTGGTAGGGATCGTTAAAAGATAAGAGCTAGTTAATCTTCAGCTTGCACAACTTTCGACTTCTGAGGGTTGTCGTTTGTAAGACGGCGACAGCTCACTGAGGATACACTACAAAAACACACTTTTGTCTATTTTCCACGATATTTCTTTATTATTGACTAGTTTCGGCTATTGCCACCATTTTCAAAATGGTGTAATGATCAAAACTAATCAACAATAAAGATAATATCGTGAAAAATAGACTAAAGTGTGTTTTTGTAGTGTATCCTCAGTGAACATGAATTTCCACAAAATAAACAAGTCGTCAATCAAAGAAGTGACGGTGACAGCTGATTAACTGATTTTTTAAACACTCCTTCCTTTAAAGAGGAAAATTTACAAACATGGCAATTCAGCGCGAGGATTTACTCGGATTCATATTCATCTGCAAAATATTTATTTCTATAGAAGGGTATCTGTAGCTAACAATATTTTAACGTTGATTTTACCTTACTGATTAAATTCACTTTGTTACTAAATGTTTCTTTCAATGTCTTTCACCATCAACGCTGGTGTTCCTCAGGGATCCATATTGTCTCCAACCTTTTTTTATTGTATATCAACGACTTGAATATTACTGGAGTTTTTTCCCAACACCAAATCGTTATTTTCAACACCTCGACATGTGTTTCGACCACCAAGTGATCATCTTCAAAGAGGGAAGATTAAAACTAGGAACTAATGCGAGCTATCCCTATTTATGCTATATAGGTATCTCATACAGGTAAACCATCCAGGCGTACCACCCATACATGTATACCAACCTAAATTAATTTTACAATTTTGCCTTATCTATTATTTTACAATATATGTTTATATAAAACAATTTTCAGCTATATAAAAATTAATTTCATAATATTGCCTATCCAAATTTATTTTTGCAATGTGTCCTTATGTAGTAATCAGTAGACCCAACAACATTATTTTATTTTAACAAGCTATATAGTATGCTCTTTGGTATAGGTCCGTCATNTTTCGCACAGGCACCGCTTTAAGAGAGCTTCAAGTATTTTTCTGTAGTGCTTGTGTTTTGTCCTTAAAAAAATCTTCCATACTTTCCTTGCAAGACGTATTTCTGAAGACTATCGAAAGTGTGTGCAGTGCTTCTACTCTATAAAATTTACGCAAATTCAGTACAAGAAGGCTAGATACATTTTCCGTACCCAGCACATATAATAATAAATACTTGGTATATGACCAGTTGAATGACGAAATTTATTAATTTCAACTGCTTCTAAACCCAAACATATCGTCGAATTCTTGAGGTTGTGAGTCATCTCACGTTAAAAGCTTTTAGCTCATAGACGCGATTATGGATTTATGAAGTGCGTATGGAAACTTTGATATGCTTTCTCACGTAGCTATGAGAATAAATAAATAAATATAATTTCAACCGATTTAAAAGGAATTTCGGTCTGTGTATCTAAACTTCTACGAGATCGAAACACCAGTGAACAATTTTCATAATGGTAGTTTTCAACATTAATGCATTTCATTTGAAAAATCATTTTGTTTTTGAGATAATCTTCAAGAGCATTCAACTGGAGATAGAAATTGGAAATGTTGAGATATTAGGGTTGTTATGCCTTCTATTTCTATTTCTATTGAACAGTTATTGGAACCACAGACACCTCAACTCTTGAATATCAAGGATAAACGAGAATCCCCACAATTGCATGAATTGATCACAGAGATGGCGTCTTCGTAAGGGGCAAGGCAATTGTGGTTCAGCCTTTCATCACTGATGAAACCTATGGCGAGTCGAAACAGCGCTGCTCGGTGTTGATTCGGAATTTCGATTTTAAACCTAAAAATCAAACTTTCGGAATTAAAGTCAGAATTTCCAAGAAACAAATAATAAAAATATCTGGCATTTCTGCACTTCGGTACTATTTTATAGTCTTCCAGTATTTTGGTAGAAAAATGTATCTTACAAGTGCCTAAACTGTGTCAATAGATGTAGGTCTTGTTAAAATAAACATTACTAATTTCAGTTGAGCTCAATAGTACAAAAAAATCTATTCGGAGTTCATTTTATAATTAATAATTGGTAGAAGAGTAGTTGAGTATAGGCATGTGTCGACGTGGATGTTTTTCCCAATAAATATTAGAGACGCCTATTTTTCTAATTGACTTTGAATAATTACTTTCATAATAATTGTATCTCAACGGATACCTCTATCACTCGGAGTACCTCGGAGTTCAGTCTAGGGACCAATGCTATCTCGAGTACGACTATATATAAATAAAGTTGACAAATCCGTTTCTCATGGAAAGTACGTGAAATTTGCTGGTGACGTAGGCCCGACCAAACTAGTATACAACGGAAATGCGAGCAAACAATAACATCTTTGAACCAGTAACTCACTTGTTTTTAATTCAGATAATTATTCAGTGATTGTTCAATTTTGTTATTATCAAAACATTCTTGACCCACTTTATATTGATGTAGATAACCATCCGCTTTCATTGTCAAAAATCACCAAGTTTTTGGGGCTGATTTGACAAAAACCTGAATTTAAAAGCACACAAGAGAGGGTTGGAGACAATATGGATCCCTGGGGAACACCAGCGTTGATGGTGAAAGTATTCGAGATATCCATCCATCGACAGCCATTTGCAGGAAACGTTCTTTCAGGAAGCTGAAGAGCCATACACAGAAATGATCTGACAAGCCATATCATCGAAGTTTGGCCAGCAAACCCTCGTGCCACACACGTTCGAAAGCCTTAGAAATATCAAGCGCAGCAGCTCTTGATTCTCCATGTTTCTCGATTGCGTTATTCCAAATATGGGTGTCATACGATATAAAGTCGCCTGTTGATCTTTGTTTCCGAAATCCATATTGATGTTAAGATGTTGAAGCCTTCCAAATATTTGAGGATATGGTGGTTTACGACTTTTGATATCACCGATAGCATGATGGAAGTTTGTGTCTGCGTTTTTAGAAATATGAGTCGATTTTCTTTAGTATGTTCTACTCATAAAATTATCTACCACTAGGCAAAAAAAATACACCAAGCTCCGCTAGGTCGATGGCGGATTGCTCTCAAAAGTCCAAGTGTTGCTTAGTTTTTAATGCGTTTTTCAGGGTTAATAATTTTATTTAACGTATGGTGTGTGCATGCATTCCCATATGTTTGTCAGTTTGAGTGTAGTAGTCTGTAATTTATCTTTATTTTTGTAAATTAGGTTTACTGACTATTCTCAATACAATTACTCATGGAATTGTCAAATTGGAAAATAAAGGATTTGATTTTGATGATTGTAATCTTAGTTTACGTCAATATGGTCAAAATAGTGTACATAGCTTGTACATTTAGTGAAATTTCTTATTTTTGTGTGAGAACTGGCCAAAAGTCGAAATTACAATGTAAATACTTTTAAATAAAAAAAATGTTGCTAGGCAGCACATTATGGTTTCAGAAACCGGAAAGTTCGATTGACTGGCCATAAGTTGATTGACTGGACAGAATGAAATGAAATATTTTTAGAGTTGATTGATTTTTCGTTTGTCATTCTGTAAAAGTATCAGCTTCCAGGTCGTGAACACACAGTTTATTTACGTCCGCAATTCACATGATTGATGAGTTTATATTATGCGGCCAAAAAGACTTTTCTCGTCGTCATGTTTATACTCGCGTGTAATGTAATGCATTTAGTCTACTGACAGATCCAGTTACAGAAATATTCGGTCTCGTAAATGGTTGGACTTAATGGACGGGTAAATATTGGTGGCAGCACATGTTCCATCGCTGACGATAAAGCGTCGCGTCGCTCGATTAAACGGCGCTTCTTCGTTAGGAACTGTTAAAATAAACTCGAAATGTCAAATATAGTCTAATTATAAAATGTAAAAAGGTTTGAATTAGTATATAATAGAAAGTGTATTGAAAATGTTTTGTCTATACTAGAATCATCTATTATAGTTAAAGTCAATGCCAACTGAATATATTCACTACCGAGCCATTTTTATAATTTGTAGATAAGTAAACTTCTTAGTTCCGGTAGAAACTTTTCATCTGTTAATTTTACTCACACGTATACTGAAAATGTACAAAATGTAACCCTAAGGCCCAGTATTACAATTAATGTTTAAGTTTCGGCTTAATTGAACTTTCCTTAACTCAAAACTTGCAGTAAATATTTCCATTCGTTATACAATCTAAACTCGGTACACGTTCAGTAGTAATTCCATTCCAGCAGAAACATCATTCCATGTCATTCCCTGTCATTATTTTCCGCTACTTAAGTGTTCATTATTACTGATAATATTTTTTTATCATTATTATGTTTCGAGTGGCGTAGAAATCATATATATCGTGTTTTTATCGATGATGGATTTAAAGAAAAAAGCATGTCCAGCTATAACTATTGCATTGAGTATGCACCGTTCTGTTAAACGTCGTTACTGGATGAAGAAATGGTTATAAATGCAAA